CAAACCGGGGGGTTTGGCAACCCTAAACCCTGCTAAGAGAGTACTTCTTCCCTCTCTATCCAAGGGGCCACTCATTGGCTCCTGCAGTCACAGATGCATGAGAAGACTCCTAGCTGGAGTGGGTGGGGGAAGAGAGGCAGAAGCAAGCAAGGCAAAAAGTCAGAGCAACCAGCTCTTGTTGAGGAAGGAAGAATGCTTTTGCCTCCAGCAGCAACCTCACCAATAACCATGGAAGCCACTTGGAGGAGCCTTGATGGGTGGAACCGCTAGAAATAATCAGCATGCTAAACACTGCATCCCTTTTTTTTTTGCAAAAACACCAGCTCTTTTCCTGCCTTTTTTGCAAAAGCAGGCCAGACATCTCTACACATTCACACAACTGCTTAATCTTCCTTACACACACATATAGCCATCAACATGGTAATTCACAGAGAGGGGGAGTGAAAAAACTGAGTGGTACAGGTACCTGCGTTTTGCTGGCTAGCAAAGCACCCAGAATGGCCAAAATGCTAGTAGGGATGATAGAAGGAACAATGTTGCTATTGCTTTGTTTTGGGTTTGTTGGGTGTTGGGTTTTTTGCAAGAAACGGACAGGAAGAATAGCACTAGATGGTGCATCCTGAGGCAGGAAGAACAGTGTGGGTCTGAAGGAGAATGCCTCGACGGTGATAGTAGCAAACAAGCAGGTTGGAGGGTTGCACAGAAAGCGCTCAGGAGCCACAGGTTGGGGATCCCTGGACTAGGGCCTAATGAGATCTTTGCACAAACTGAGTAAAATGAAAAGACAAATTCTAGAGGAGTAGCCATGTTAGCCTGTTGTGGCAAAACCAAAATGCAACCTTGTGCCACAACAACCCCCCCACATGTATTAAAAAGACTTCTATTGATACAGGGCTGGCCCGAGGCGAGGCTGCACCCTAGGGGGGGGCAACCTCCCGGTGGGGCCTGGAGACCACCCCACTGGGAACCCAGCGGGAGGCCCTGGATGGGGCAGCGGGCCCTGGATGGGGGCGCCAAAGTTCGCCTCCCCACCACCACCAAAAGCCAGCGCCGATCCCCGAGGCGTCCTTCCACATCCTTCCCGCCTGCCTGGACCCTCTCCAGCGACCCATGGCCGGTGGGGAAAGGCGCCGGCAGAGTGGGCGCATGAAGAGGGGAGCCCGCGCCGGGGCAGTGCCTGCCGCCACCTGAGCCAGCCAGCCCTCCACCCTGGGACTGCACGGCCCTTTACCCCCTCGCCCACCTACCTCCTCCCACCGCGGGCACTCCATTGTCTGGCATCTGGGAAACACCAGATCACACTATTGTTCCATAATGGGAATCCCATGAACCCAGTGGGAAACTAGCCACCACACTTCAGCATACCCTCAAGATATGTTTTGAGTTATAAATACACCCAGACCCACAATGGCATGGTGTGATTGGGCTGCACTCGCACAAAACCATTACCCCTGATTATAACTCAGGTTCCTGTGGTCTCGCTGGTCCAGTCCACCCACCTCCTCCCTACAACCTCTGGACCTCATCATCTCTACAGGATAGGAATAGCATTACCTCAATCTACTCATCCCCTCTATCTGTCAGCTAACTTATTCCTCCATGTATGCTTGCAATCCTTGATTTGAGTGTAAATATCTACATCATTATTTTTCTTAATAAAACCCATTTAATTCACAATTTGGGCTGGTTATTGACTCAATCAGAGGTCTAAAAGGGACTATCTCCATAAACACTGATAGCAGATCTCGCTTTACCTCAGCCTCTCGCTAGCCCTGCTGTTGATGCTAATTTCCCCAATTAAACCAAAGGCAAGAATATTATTTAATAAAGCTGGTAGGGATAACAGTATGAGCTTAGGCTAGCGAGAGATGCTAAGAACAACAAAAAAGGGTTCTTATGTTCAAAGTAAGAAAAAGAGCAAGGACATGGTAGGCCTATTGCGGCGACAGGAAAGTGAAATTGTAACGGGATGAAGAGAGGGAAGAACTGCTCAATTCCTACTTTTCATCAGTCTTCTATTGTGGAGCTCAACATAGCAAAAACAGAACACATGATGAAGGAAGGGAGCTGTAGCCTAGGATTGGCATAAGGGTAGTACACAAACACTTAGTTTCTTTAAATGAAGTTTGTCTGGATGCAGTTCATCTGGACCCAAGGATTTAGTCCATTTATTATTCATCTGGACCCAAGCCTTTGTCCATTTATTATTATTAGAATTCTTGGAGAACAGGTGAGGTGCCAGAAGATTGGAGGTAGGCAAATGTTATCCCCATCTTCAAGAAGGGGGAAAAGAACGATCCGTGTAACTACCAACCCGTCAGCTTGACGTCTATACCTGGAAAAGCTTTAGAACAAATCATCAGTCAGTCCTTGAGCACTTAGAAAGGATGGCTCTGATTACTAAGAGCCAGCATGGGTTTCTCAAGAACAAGTCATGTCAGACTAACCTCCTCTTTTTTCAAGAAAGTTACTACCTTGTTGGATCAGGGGAATGGCTGTAGACAAAGTTTATCTTGATTTCAGTAAGGCTTTTGATAAGGTTCCACATAATATTCTTGTTGACAAGTTGATAGAATGTGGTTTGGATCCTGACCGTTTGGTGGATCTGTAACTGCTTGACAGATCACACCCAAAGAGTGCTTGTTAATGGTTCCTCATCCTCTTGGAGAGGAGTGATAAGTGGAGTGCCTCAAGGATCTGTTCTGGGACCTGTTTTGTTCTACATCTTTATAAATGATTTGGATGAAAGAATAGTGGGAATGCTTATTAAATTTGCAGATGATACTAAATTGGGAGGGGTAGCAACTACAGCCGAAGACAGAGTTAGGATACAGGATGATCCTGACAAGCTGAGAAACTGGGCTAAAGCAAATAAAACGAATTTCAACTGGGATAAATGTAAAGTTCTACATTTAGGTAGGAAAAATCAAATGCATAATTATAGGATGGGGAAGTCTTGGCAGTAGTATGTGCCAAAAGGATCTAGGGGTCTTAGTAGACCATACATTGAACATGAGTCAGCAGTGTGATGTGGTAGCTAAAAAGGCAAATGCAATTTTGAGCTGTATCAACAGAAGTATAGTGTCCAGATCATGTGAAGTGATGGTACCACTTTGCTCTGCTCTGGTTAGATGTCACCTAGAGTATTGTGTTCAGTTTTGGGCACCCCAATTTAAGGAGGATACAGACAAGCTGGAATGTGTCCAGAGGAGGCCAATGAAGATGGTGAAGGTTCTGGAGACCAAGTCCTACGAGGAAAGGTTGAAGGAGCTGGGTACGTTTAGCCTGGAGAGGAGATTACTCAGAGGTGATAACTTGAAGGGCTGTCATATAGAGGATGGTGTGATTTTCTGTTGCTCCAAAAGGTCAGACCAGATCCAACAGGTTGAAATTAAATCAGAAGAGTTTTCAGCTAAACATTAGGAAGAACTTTACTTCCTGACAGTTCGAGCGGTTCCTCAGTGAAACATGCTTCCTCAGGAGGTAGTGTCCATTGTGAAAAACACTTTTCACAAAATTTGAGCAAGGTCACTCATAAGTGCTATTGCCAGACAATACTACTACCACCACACATTTGGCCATCAGTCACAAGATATGAAGTACCTCAGATTGTCACCTGAGTAGGTCAAAGGATATTGCATGCTGAGATATCTGCAAGTACTAGTTTATTTCACGCTTTGGGATTTCTGTTCCGCTCTGCTAGTTCAAATTGCCACTGGTATCAATTGATGTCGCTTTTTAAAAAAAGTTCTACTACTCTTCCAGGTTGACAGGTCATGGTTTACTGATGCAAGATATTCTGATCACCTTAAGAGGTGCAAACGTTGAAACCTTTACCTTCTTTAATGAAGCATGGAATTTCAAAGTTCACTCCGTTGGCACCATGAGACTTTCCAAAGCAAAAGCAACCAACTGCTTCTTACCCAGGTGTTCAGCACTGAGTAGAAACTTTCCTGTCACCTCTGTAGCCGTATAGACATTTTCAATTACTTGAAGAGTGTAAATGGATGAGGCAGGAAATAATGTATCAAATCTTCTTGGAAAGATTCTGCAGCACTTTACATTCATCACAATGATCCCAGTTTTCTTGCCACTCACTGTGGGTCACCTGATCAACAAGTCCAAGTACAAACACTGCTCTTGTTGACCTATAAATCAAATGAAAGAAACTACACATTGAATACTGAATATATTTTTGTAACTTCCTCTTCTTTTTCGTGGCCTTCAGCCATTTTTGATTATAGTTAGGATTTGAAAAACGCATATAATATAGCTATCCCGCCCCGAACGAAGTCACAACAGGAAGCGGGATAGGGAGGCAGTAAATGGATACTGATACGACAAATTAGGTTTTATCGAGGGCTATGTGGGTTTTTTTTTTGCAATATTGTTCTTACATCAAGCCACATAGTCCGTTCCTTCCTTTCCGATCTACACTTAACTTGCCTCTACTATTTCTTCTGGAGAGCACCAAAGAAGACACAGACCCAACTGAAACGAGTCCCTCCTAAACAGGTACTTGCAGCTCATTAATGCCCAACTATAACCGGAGGGTTTTTCTTTAAAAAAATCCCCCATATGCCACTACTGGCACCTCCCAGCAGGCACGCGCACGCCTGAAACTTCCCTCCGCTCAACAACCGCCAACTGCTGTTACGTTTCCCACGCTTCGAACGCCGCTCCACTTCTGCGCCTGCGTGGCCTCCCCTCCGCGCCTCGATGCCTACGTACGCGCCGCCTACAGACCGTGCGCGCTCTTTCACGGCCACAGCATTACATTGCGCCTCACCACTTTTCCCCTTAAACTCTCCCTCCCGTCTCTTTTTTATGCCCAAAGTGCGCGCACGCCTAGCCCCGCCCCCCGTCCTTCTTCCTAGGTCCCCGCTCTCCTCGCGCCAGATGTATCTCGGTGACGCGCGCGCAGGCTGATTCCGTGCGTGCGGACGCATGCGCGGACCTATACGTGAGCAAAGCGGGGAGTCGGGTTCAAAGGAGGAAATATGGCGGAAAACAAAGGAGGAGGCGGTGGTGGTGGGGAGGGGGCTGTGGAGGCCGCGCCGGCTGGGGGTGGTCCGGAGCCTGCCACCGCTGCAGCCGCTGTCGTTGTCACCTCCGCGGCAACAGTGGCGTCCCCGCCCCCTCCGGCCCCCGCCCCTCTCGACGACAGGGAGAGTCCTGCCGCGGTGGTCCTGGCTGCGCCGGCGGACAAGGGCCCAGGGGAGGCGGAGGCCGCGGTGGCGGTGAGCGGAGGCCTGGGCTCCGGCTCAGTGCCGGCGCCGCTGGGGCCCAGCCCGGCGCCCCCTGCCCTGTCTAGCGCCGCGCCAGGCCCGCTGTCGCTCCTGGACACCTGCGCCGTCTGCGCGCAGAGTCTGCAGAGCCGGGAGGCCGAGCCCAAGCTGCTGCCTTGCCTGCACTCCTTTTGCCGCCGTTGCTTGCCGGAGCCTGAACGCCAGCTCAACGTGCCCGTGCCCGGCGGCGCCAACGGGGACATTCAGCAGGGTGAGTGGGAAGACGCAGGGCATGGGCAGTGGGGGGTGAGGGCCCCGGCTTTGGCAGGGGAGGATGCGAGGGGCGGATCTGAGCAAGGTGGGAGAAGGGAGACAGGTAGGTTACTAGGTGGCATTGGCGCAGAACGTGAGTGGTGCTTGACGTGGCTCCTTTGGAGGGGCTGCAGAGTAATCGAAGGTGCTCTTTAGAAGGTTGACATACTGGGCTGGACGTGGTCCATCATCGAGGATGTTGGGTGAGGCGGTGGAGCTTCCTTTGGGAATGCAGTCTATGTAGAATTTGCTATGCTGCTTGGCATGCGACCCACAGACTGTGGCTTTTTTGTATCAAGGCCTGGCATTGGAGATTTCATCGCTCTTGTATCACCTTGAGTGACTAGGTTACTAAGTACATAGGAAATAGTTCATTTCATACCGTGCTTTGTTGAACATAAACATGACTATTCTCAAAGCCTTCGTTAAAGCAATGACCATAATGCAACTTCTGAGCATGCTGTGTGAAGGCTGTTTTGCATGAGTAGCCAGTTGTAGAAGTAGCGTGTTAGAAAAAAAATGGGGTGAGAGATGTGGATGTTTACTGACATGTTCAATAGCAATGGTACACACATCTGGAGATGTTTACCAGGTGTTCTCTTGCCTGCCATGAGTGGAAAAGTATAAAGTATGTTTCCAATGTGGTCTTCAAAGATGAATATTCCCCTTTGTCAAGGAATTTATTAGGAAGTGAGACTGGGTCCTATTCTCTCTTATCCGTGTTGAATTAGCTTTGGCCACTAGTCTGTTGGTTCTTTGGCTGAGCATCCTACAAGGCTTTGCAGTCGACGAAGTGCTGTATTTTCCCCAAGCAAGAGTGGATTCTCTGATGCACTCTGCCCTAGAAAACCATTTATATTTCTCCAAGTCCATGGCACTCTAAGCCTGAGGTATACTTGACAAGTACAGGTCTAGAGCCTCACTGACCCACTGACAATATACAGATTATCACTTGAAGAGGTGCCATAATAGTCTGGGTTTTTTTGCCCTTATAGATACTACATTAACCACAGGCAAAGTTCATGCTTGCTGTATATGAGGGGCTGGATATTGGCAAATATATCAGATGTTCGTCACAGGTTGAATTGATAACTACAATGGCTTCTATAGACAGCAAAAATATATTTAACGTCTGGATTTTCTCTTGGGCATTGTTGTATGCCAACCACCCTCTTTATGGGTCTTGACAAACAACCAGGATATATCCTTTAAAACTTCTGTGCATTCTATTTCAGGTATTTGATTAAATTTGTATGCTGCATACTAGAGTGTTATAAATTTGAAAGTTTCTGGATTATGGTTTTGAAGTTCAATAAATGAGATTCTTAGGAACAACCACCTCTCTCTTAAACGCAATTGAAGTCTCTGCTGTTTCTCTCCCTCTCTGTTGAACCTGTTGGGAATGGGAGTT